TTTCTACCTTTTTAATACAGCGGTTTCTCACACAGCAGTCTCTCTCACACAGCTCACAAGTTACTTCTACGTGACTTCCTGAAATCTTGCACTCATGTTATGTTGGACTTTGGTCCCAACATGCTGACAAGGCTGCAGAGGCGACATTAGAGGAGTGTTAACAGAATGGCATTTCATGAGGTACTGTGTTCAGGGGATGTGATTTTTTTACGTACCAGTTGTTCTTGACAGTCCGAGCAAGTGAGTAAACATAAACATAAAACGCTTTCAATGCATGTATGCAGTGACACAAGAAACCAGGCAAGCCTGAAAATCGAACCTGCACCTTGCCCTGAAGGAACTTTAAAAACACCTTCGATGTTTACAGCAAGGGATGGGTTGCACAGAACATAAATGCTTCACAGACTGGCATCATCAAGTCTTGCTTTGTATGGAAGAAATCGCATTTAAATACTGAAAGAAACAAGAAAAAGTATAGAAAGCTGTACTTCCTGTTTCAGTAGGTGGCGGTATGACAATGACTCAAAATTGAACTGTATGTCTATTGGCCAGGAATTTCATCAAACATGTGAAAATGGTAAAGGATCTGATCATGTGGAGGTTAATTACATCGGTTTATTCGTTCTTGGGGATATGATGGTAAAGAGCCGCTAACATATCCTCGGCACCATCCTCTTTGTCACTTATGTGTTTGCTACTTTGTTTCAAAAACTAAGCAAACGCAACAACCCAGTAAGAAAAAACAAGCAATTTGATGACCAAGTCTACAGATACGCTGCTTGAATTCTCTTGCATAGCTGTATGGGATTTTGTCCCGTTGACATAGATAATTGATCCATTTCGTCCGGGTCCAAATCCTGGACGAGCCCGGAATTGGTCTTTTGAAAAAGTCAATAGATGTGATAAGTAAAATGAAATATGTCTATACGAAAACGTTACTTCCAAATTTATTCAACTAACGTAGAGTCTAGAGATGCGCTTGTCGATATCTCTCGCCCAGCTATTTGCAATTATTTCCCGTTGACATGTAACTTTCACCCTTTTGTCGGCTCGTTGGTCTAGGGGTATGATTCTCGCTTAGGGTGCGAGAGGTCCCGGGTCCAAATCCCGGACGAGCTTGCAAGTGCTCTTTTGAAACAGTCAATGGCTGTGATTAGTCAAACGAAATATGTCTATACGAAAACTTCACTTCCAAATTTATACAATTCAGGTAGAGTCTAGATATGCGCTTTTCAAATTCTCTCGAATAGCTATTTGCGATTATGTCCTGTTGTCATGTAACTTTCACCGCTTTTGTCGGCTCGTTGGTCTACGGGTATGATTCTCGCTTTGGGTGCGAGAGGTCCCGGGTCCAAATCCCGGACGAGCCCGGGATTGGTCTTTTGAAAGTCAATAGATGTGATAAGTAAAATGAAATATGTCTATACGAAAACGTTACTTCCAAATTTATTCAACTAACGTAGAGTCTAGAGATGCTCTTGTCGATATCTCTCGCCCAGCTATTTGCAATTATTTCCCGTTGACATGTAACTTTCACCCTTTTGTCGGCTCGTTGGTCTAGGGGTATGATTCTCGCTTAGGGTGCGAGAGGTCCCGGGTCCAAATCCCGGACGAGCCCGGAATTGGTCTTTTGAAACAGTCAATGGCTGTGATTAGTAAAATGAAATATGTCCATACGAAAAGGTCACTTCCAAATTTATTCAACTAACGTAGAGTCTAGAGATGCGCGTGTCGAATTCTCTCGCCCAGCTATTTGCAATTATTTCCCGTTGACATGTAACTTTCACCCTTTTGTCGGCTCGTTGGTCTAGGGGTATGATTCTCGCTTTGGGTGCGAGAGGTCCCGGGTCCAAATCCCGGACGAGCCCGGGATTGGTCTTTTGAAAGTCAATAGATGTGATAAGTAAAATGAAATATGTCTATACGAAAATTTAACTTCCAAATTTTTTCAACTAACGTAGAGTCTAGAGATGCTCTTGTCGATATCTCTCGCCCAGCTATTTGCAATTATTTCCCGTTGACATGTAACTTTCACCCTTTTGTCGGCTCGTTGGTCTAGGGGTATGATTCTCGCTTTGGGTGCGAGAGGTCCCGGGTCCAAATCCCGGACGAGCCCGGAAGTGCTCTTTTGAAACAGTCAATGGCTGTGATTAGTCAAACAAAATATGTCGGAATGAAAATGTTACATCCAAATTTATTCAATTAACGTAGAGTCTAGTGATGCTCTTGTCGATATCTCTCGCCCAGCTATTTGCAATTATTTCCCGTTGACATGTAACTTTCACCCTTTTGTCGGCTCGTTGGTCTAGGGGTATGATTCTCGCTTAGGGTGCGAGAGGGTCCCGGGTCCAAATCCCGGACGAGCCCGGAATTGGTCTTTTGAAACAGTCAATGGCTGTGATTAGTCAAACGAAATATTTCTATACGAAAACGTTACTTCCAAATTTATTCAACTAACGTAGAGTCTAGAGATGCGCTGGCGAATTCTCTCGCCCAGCTATTTGCGATTATTTCGGCTGAACAGTAACTTTCACCTTTTTGTCGGCTCCGTGGTCTAGGGAATGATTCCCGCTTGGGTGCAAGAGTCCTGGGCCAAATGCCCGGACGAGCCCGGAATTGGTCTTTTGAAACAGTCAATGGCTGTGATTAGTCAAACGAAATATTTCTATACGAAAACGTTACTTCCAAATTTATTCAACTAACGTAGAGTCTAGAGATGCGCGTGTCGAATTCTCTCGCCCAGCTATTTGCAATTATTTCCCGTTGACATGTAACTTTCACCCTTTTGTCGGCTCGTTGGTCTAGGGGTATGATTCTCGCTTAGGGTGCGAGAGGTCCCGGGTCCAAATCCCGGACGAGCCCGGAAGTGCTCTTTTGAAAAAGTCAATAGATGTGATTAGTAAAATGAAATATGTCCATACGAAAAGGTCACTTCCAAATTTATTCAACTAACGTAGAGTCTAGAGATGCGCTTGTCGAATTCTCTCGCCCAGCTATTTGCAATTATTTCCCGTTGACATGTAACTTTCACCCTTTTGTCGGCTCGTTGGTCTAGGGGTATGATTCTCGCTTAGGGTGCGAGAGGTCCCGGGTCCAAATCCCGGACGAGCCCGGAAGTGCTCTTTTGAAACAGTCAATGGCTGTGATTAGTCAAACGAAATATGTCGGAATGAAAATGTTACATCCAAATTTATACAATTCAGGTAGAGTCTAGAGATGCGCTTGTCGAAATCTCTCGCCTAGCTATTTGCAATTATGTCCCGTTGACATGTAACTTTCACCCTTTTGTCGGCTCGTGGTCTAGGGGTATGATTCTCGCTTAGGGTGCGAGAGGTCCCGGGTCCAAATCCCGGACGAGCCCGGAATTGGTCTTTTGAACAGTCAATGGCTGTGATTAGTCAAACGAAATATTTCTATACGAAAACGTTACTTCCAAATTTATTCAACTAACGTAGAGTCTAGAGATGCGCGTGTCGAATTCTCTCGCCCAGCTATTTGCAATTATTTCCCGTTGACATGTAACTTTCACCCTTTTGTCGGCTCGTTGGTCTAGGGGTATGATTCTCGCTTAGGGTGCGAGAGGTCCCGGGTCCAAATCCCGGACGAGCCCGGAAGTGCTCTTTGGAAAAAGTCAATAGATGTGATTAGTAAAATGAAATATGTCCATACGAAAAGGTCACTTCCAAATTTATTCAACTAACGTAGAGTCTAGAGATGCGCTGGTCGAATTCTCTCGCCCAGCTATTTGCAATTATTTCCCGTTGACATGTAACTTTCACCCTTTTGTCGGCTCGTTGGTCTAGGGGTATGATTCTCGCTTAGGGTGCGAGAGGTCCCGGGTCCAAATCCCGGACGAGCCCGGAATTGGTCTTTTGAAACAGTCAATGGCTGTGATTAGTAAAATGAAATATGTCCATACGAAAAGGTCACTTCCAAATTTATTCAACTAACGTAGAGTCTAGAGATGCGCTTGTCGAATTCTCTCGCCCAGCTATTTGCAATTATTTCCCGTTGACATGTAACTTTCACCCTTTTGTCGGCTCGTTGGTCTAGGGGTATGATTCTCGCTTCGGGTGCGAGAGGTCCCGGGTCCAAATCCCGGACGAGCCCGGAAGTGCTCTTTTGAAACAGTCAATGGCTGTGATTAGTCAAACGAAATATGTCGGAATGAAAATGTTACATCCAAATTTATACAATTCAGGTAGAGTCTAGATATGCGCTTTTCAAATTTCTCTCGCCTAGCTATTTGCGATTATGTCCTGTTTTCATGTAACTTTGACCCTTTTGTCGGCTCGTTGGTCTAGGGGTATGATTCTGTGCTACGGGTGCGAGAGGTCCCGGGTTCAAATCCCGGACGAGCCCGATGGAACTTGTTTGATGCTGTTAGCGGTTGTAATTTGTAAATGATGACAAAAAAGTTACTCCCCAATTTGGTCAGTGAACGACCATATTGCTAGTTTGTTTCCAAAAAATAGGCAAACACAACAAACTAGTGAAAAAAAAACAAGCAATTTGTTGACCACGGATACGCTGATTCAATTCTCTTGCCTGGCCAAATAGGATTTTGTCCCATGGACATAGCATTAATAGTTTTTGTCGGCTCGTTGGTCTAGGGGTATGATTCTCGCTTTGGGTGCGAGAGGTCCCGGGTCCAAATCCCGGACGAGCCCGGGATTGGTCTTTTGAAAGTCAATAGATGTGATAAGTAAAATGAAATATGTCTTTACGAAAATTTAACTTCCAAATTTTTTCAACTAACGTAGAGTCTAGAGATGCTCTTGTCGATATCTCTCGCCCAGCTATTTGCAATTATTTCCCGTTGACATGTAACTTTCACCCTTTTGTCGGCTCGTTGGTCTAGGGGTATGATTCTCGCTTTGGGTGCGAGAGGTCCCGGGTCCAAATCCCGGACGAGCCCGGAAGTGCTCTTTTGAAACAGTCAATGGCTGTGATTAGTCAAACAAAATATGTCGGAATGAAAATGTTACATCCAAATTTAT